GCCACTTGATTCATTGCACTTGGCAGGTACCTGCTGAGTCCTCTGGCAGGCAAACTGCTTTATGTTTTATTGTTTCATGTATTTTTTATAATAGGCCTTCAAAGGATATAGATCCAGCATGTCACACGACCTGCCTTGCTTCAAATAGCGAATGCAAGATTAAATGACTGACATCTTGCAAGCTACGGCAAGCTTAGGTGATGCCCAAATGGTTTCTACTCTACAATTTCTTTTGAGTTCTACTTTTTCTTATCTTCTATCCCTTCATTATGTTATTTTGCAACTGTTTATTTTATTTTATTACTTCATGTATCTTATTTTGATGGAATTTTTTGTTTCTTTCTATTTTATTTCGCTGTATTGTATTTTTGGGCTTGGCCTCATGTTAGCCACCCTGAGTCCCCTTTGGGGAGATGGTGGTGGGTATAAATAAAGATTATTATTATTATTAGTAGTAGTAGTAGTAGTATTCAGGTTTCAGCATCTGTAGGGGAAGGAGAATGACAGAGAGAAACAAATAGTAAGGGAATTCAAATCAGAATCGTACCAAATTCTATGATACGGTTTTTATTTATTTCAATTACTTCTACCCCGCCCTTCTCACCCCAGGGGGGACTCAGGGCGGCTTACAGACGAAGGCACAATTCGATGCCTGAATCAATTAACAAGCAATACAGAAAGCAATTCAAACAGTTAACAAATTAAAACATCAATACATAATAAAATATACAAAACAATCTCATGCTCAGTGTTCAGAGTCCATATATCCATTCCATTCCATCTGTCCTTGTTTATCGTTAGATCTTTACTTTAGCTGCCAGAATGTCCAAAGGCTTGGTCCCATATCCAGGTCTTCAGTTTTTTCCTAAACGCCAGAAGGGAAGTCGCCGATCTAATCTCCCCGGGGAGTGAGTTCCACAGGTGAGGGGCCACCACTGAGAAGGCCCTGCTCCTCGTCCCCGTCAACCTCACTTGTGAGAGTGGCGGGTCGAGAGCAGGGCCTCCCCAGAAGATCTTAAACTCCGAGATGGGACGTAGAGGGAGATCCGTTCGGACAGATACACTGGGCCGGAACCATATAGGGTTTTGTAGGTCAAAACCAGCACTTTGAATTGTGCTCGGAATTGGATCGGCAGCCAGTGGAGCTGATGCAGCAGGGGGGTGGTATGCTCCCTGTACGCCGTTCCGGTGAGCAATCTGGCTGCTTCTCGCTGTTTTATGTTCTATGCATTTTTAAGATGGTGTGAGCTGCCTTGAGTCCACTCTAAAGAAAGGAAGAATGGATATCTTATCTTCAAGGATAACTAAATGAAAGAAGTGCCTTTATGGACAGCAGTGGAAGCATCAACTCATTCACTATAGGAAACAGTATGATGTGCCAGTTGGACCTTTGCTCAGATACAACGTGTACTGTTTTTCCCAGTTTGGGCCATCAATGGATGCAAATAGTTCTTAATAACTTGGAAAGGGTTGTAGCTCAATGATCAAGCCCTGTGCTTTGCATCCAATGGGTCAAAAATGGACAAGTTGTTGAAGGCTAAGGAATCATATTAGTTTCACAGGAGACCTTGGAGGTTCATAATCTGTTGGACCCATTCCATGTAACAACAACAACAACAACAAAAGCAAAAAAAAGCACCCCTAAATGCTCTATAAAGAGGGAAGGGGGCATGTTTGACAGGTTTGTTGGCTCAGGAGAGTCCTTTATTTACAACTGGAGTTGATTGGGGCATCTTGTCTTGCTTTTAAGACCTCTCCTGGTCTAAAAGGTAAAGGTAAAGGTTTCCCCCTTGACATTAAGTCTAGTCGTGACTGACTCTGAGAGGTGGTGCTCATCTCCATTTCTAAGCTGAAGAGCCAGCATTGACCATAGACACCTCCAATGTCATATGGCCGGCATGAATGTATGGAGCACCGTTACCTTCCCACAAATGCAGGACCTATTGATCTCCTCACATGTGCATGTTTTTGAACTGCCTAGGTTGGCAGAAGCGAGGGCTAACAGCAGGAGCTCACTCCGGTCCCCAGATTCAAACCACTGACCTTTCGGCCAGCAAGTTCAGCAGCTTAGTGTTTTAACCCATTGCACCACTGGGGACTTCTTCTGGACTAAAACGGGAGGAAAATACCCTCATAGCTCCATTGGAGATTTGGGAGCAACCACACACATGCACACATTTTTCCAGGCGGCTCCTGGAGAACGCAAAAACAGCCATGGGGGCAATGTGCTCTCTGCTTTCTACAGGCTGTACTTCTCCTAGATTCATTTCCTAGTATCTCCAGTTTGGTTGTGTCAGGAGCAAGTCGCTTCTAGTGTGAGAGAATTGGCTGTCTGCAAGGATGTTGCCCAGGGGACGCCTGAACGATTTGATGTTTTTATCATCCTTGTGGGAGGCTTCTCTCATGTCCCCGCATGAGGAGCTGGAGCTGATAGAGGGAGCTCATCCGCCTCTCCCCAGATTCGAACCTGCGACCTGTCAGTCTTCAGTCCTGCCGGCACAGGGGTTTAACTCACTGTGCCACCGGGGGCTCCAGTATCTCCAGTTAGAGCTGGGAAAGAGTCCTGCCTGAAATGACTGGAGAGCCCCTTGACAATACTGGGCAAGATGAGCCAGTGGGCTGACTTGCTGTTGGGCAGCTGCCTGTGTTCTTACGAAATCCTGAGTGCTTTCCAGTGGCTTCACATTAATGAAAGGAAAATAAATAGAGCTCATTAATAACAACAAGGCAGAAAATCAGTTCCATATTTGCCTTGAATAACAGGCAGGCAATGCTGTTAATTATCTCTTTCTTTTTTTAAAAAAGAAAGAAAGTATACTAATTGGTAATCTTCTCTAGATCTCTAGCTGATTTTATGAAGTTATTCATGCACCTCAACAAGGGGAGTTTCTATGGAAACTGAGCATCCAGATTTTCATAAGGCAACCTACCAAAAGAGAGAGAGAGAAAGAGAGAGAGTAGTGCCCAGCTAAAATGCAAATTGACCTTTTGCAGCAAAATATATGAATACCCAACTTTCCCTCTTCTCCCTACACCCATCCCCTTCCACGCACCACCCCCAGTTTCCATTTTGCATTGTGGGCCGATCCCAGCTGGACTTTACATGGCAACAGCGTGAAGGCATTGTTTACCACTTGCTAGACTCCGTGGGGATGTATAAAAATCTGCCAGAGCACTGCAGCTCTCAAGGGGTGGATTCTCTGGAGAAGCACTGTGCTCGCTGCTGTATGTCATGCCAACTTCAGGGAGTCAAAAATATACAACTGCGTTTTTTAACACAAAAAGAAAAGGTTTCCTGAGGCTGTAATTCGTTGACCCATTTCAGAGATGCACGAGGTAGTTGGCATTTTGTTGAGCTGTCTCTCTCCCTTTAGATCATCCCTCCTCACTGAATAGGCCAGTTTTCCTCGGTGCATTGTCTTTCAGATGAGTTGGACTCCACTCCTATTATTTCCAACCAGCTTTGGTTACATTTGATTACCATTTGCTTGCCGTGGGTGGACCGGTGGGCAGTTTGTCTGCCTATGCGCAGCACTTCACATCACGGCTTTTACCCTTAGTTAATATCTGTTAGTGAGGCTTTAAACACACTGGTGGAGTTAGAATTCTCTCCTTGACTGCTGGGCTTAAGAGCCAAAGAAACACAGACTCTCCAACAAGTCATTCTTAACTCAGCAGTCGATCTTGCAAGATTTGAGTCTGGGAGACACAGTGGAGCTGATGGTGGATGCATGCATTGCCAAAAAAGGAAGAGAAAATGCATCATTTTAAAAAGCACGTAATACATACATGCTTTTTAAAAGCATAATCTGTTGGAGGTGGGCATCATACAAAGCATGTGTTTACAGGCAGGGAAGAGAGGTTGTGCAGTTCCACCTGCAGGTTTCTAAAACACACCTCTATGATACCAGAACGTGGTGAATGTAAAGAGTCAACTGAGTGTTATTTCATTCTCCCTTTGTAGATATTCCATCCATGACCTTAGGTTTGTGCTGCATTGTTGAGTATCCAGGGAGAGTTGGGATGAAAGCATGAACTGGGGTTCATTAAGGAAAACCAAAGTCTCCCCCCACACACAGTTCAAATAACATGTACTGAACATGCCTCTGCCATCATCAATAGGAGTATAGTGTCTAGATCCAGGGAAGTCATGCTGCTCCTCTATTCTGCCTTGGTTAGACTACATCTGGAATACTGTGTCCAGTTCTGGGCACCACAATTGAAGGAAGATGTTGATAAGCTGGAATGTGTCCAGAGGAGGGCGACTAAAATGATCAAGGGTCTGGGGAACAAGCCCTATGAGGAGCGGCTTAAAGAGCTGGGCATGTTTAGCCTGAAGAAGAGAAGGCTGAGAGGAGACATGATAGCCATGTATAAATATGTCAGAGGAAGTCATGGGAGGAGGGAGCAAGCTTGTTTTCTGCTGCCCTGGAGACTAGGATGTAGAACAATGGGGTCAAACTACAAGAAAGAAGATTCCATCTGAACATTAGAAAAAATTTCCTGACTGTGAGAGCTGTTCGGCAGTGGAACTCTCGGCCCCTGAGTGTGGTGAAGTCTCCTTCTTTGGAGGCTTTTGAGCAGAGGCTGAATGGCCATCTGTTGGGGGTGCTTTGAAGGTGATTTTCCTGCTCCTTGGCAGGGAGTTGGACTGGGTGGCCCATGATGTCTCTTCCAATTCTATGATTCTATCGTACGTTGCCTCTGTGGTAGGGCAACAGTAGTAGATTGCATGGTTTGGGAGCAGTAGGCCTCGGGTCCAGCCCTTGACATAGTAGGACTAGGAAAGTCAATCTCTGAAGCTCCAAAGATCTAGTCAATATAAGCCTTACTGAGATACATAGAGCAGTACTCTTGATTCAGGAGAAGGATCCAGAAAAATTACTTTTTTGGACTTAAATTCTCAGGGTCTTCTGCTGAGTCATTAATCCCTGACTGTTTCTATTACTGAATGACTTACTTTTATTGTATGCTAACAGTGGTTTCCTTCTCCTTGGCAGGGGCTGGTCTTGAACAGACTTGGGCGGAAAGACTTGGCTCAGAAGGTTTTGCAGGATGCGGTCCAGGTCCAGAGCACCAGCCACCAAGCATGGAACAGCCTTGGAGAAGTCCTTCATGCTCAGGGAAAGAATGAAGCCGCTGTTGAGTGCTTCCTAACTGCGCTGGATCTTGAAGCCAGCAGCCCTGCCATCCCATTTACAGTTATTCCCAGGGAGCTGTGATGATAATTTTAACATCACAGATGTGCATTCTATGGACATAGTTCCAATAAAATACCTGAGAGATAAGCAATTAGTTTAAAGTGCAATAAATATGCAGTCAACCCTCCACATTTGTGGGTCTGACTTTGGCAAATTTGATTATTCATGAATTTGATTATAACGTTATCTCTAGGAATTTCTACATCCTTCAGTACAACGATAGATCCTTCAGTATGGTTGCATTCAAAGGGCCGTTTGTAATTGTAAGACTATATAAATGTTGCCTTGGCACTGAAAGCCTTGCGGACTTCATAAAATGTCTAGACAGGTGTTCTCTCAGGTTTAAAAAAATAGTATTGTTTTAATTTGCTGTTCTTCCACTTTCATTGGGGTCCTGCACTCCTATACCAAGTGATTGTGGAGACCTGACTGTATAGATACAATTTATTTGTTACTCAGAATTCAAAAGTCTTTGTTAAATGAAGCTTCAATTTCAGGGATATTCCATTTTCCTGGCACACAGACTTCAAGAGGAATTGCCACAAGGAAAATGCATTTCTTTCTTTTTATCTAGCTGCTGGGGTTGCTGCAATTTGCAGTGGTGTCTGCATCCAACTTTTACAATGTAACTCTGAACATAAACAACCAGAAATGGAATGGGTTTTTGTAGGTTTTTTGGGTTGTATGGCCATGTTCTAGAAGCATTCTCTCCTGATGTTTTGCCTGCATCTGTGGCAGGCATCCTCAGAGGTTGTGAGGTTTGTTGGAAACTAGGAAAATGTTTCATAACGTTTCACACTTACCTCCAACAGACAAGAGTTCTTTCTCCCACCCTGGACCTTCCACAGATATATAAACCCAATTTTCCTAGTTTCCAACAAACCTCACAACCTCCGAGGATGCTTGCCACAGATACAGACAAAACGTCAGGAGAGAATGCTTCTAGAACATGGTCATACAACAACGCAGTGATTCCAGCCATGAAAGCCTTCAACAATACAGAAATAGAATGGCAGTCTCAAAGGGATTCTCTTTTCTCTTCAATTTTTGCTGTCTGACATTAGTTGCAGTTATTCGGTGGTGAGTGTGGGGACATTATCTGCAACCTGACAAATCAAGGGATGCACATGCTTGCTAAGTTTTCTACCTAATGGATGATGAGATTATTAGGTTTTTTAAAAGACATTGGTTGATGATTTCTGCATTCCATGACTTTTTTTTGTTGCAAAAATTCACCTGTAAGAAAAAAGCACTGATTTTTGTACACAAAATGGTATCTTCTCCACAAAAAAACCTCATTGTTTTCTGTACACACAAACAAGTATTTTGATCAAAATGCATTGTGCACAAATGAATTTTTCACAAAAAGTATCTGGAATGTGAAGAATCCTATAGCTCTTGATCATTTTCTAACCTTAATATGTTGGTATGTTGAGATAACCTCTTCTATCAAAGATAATAATATTTGCAAGTACAGGTTGAACATCTCTTATCTGGAATTTCCATCTGATATACTCTACCGCTGAGCTGCTGAACTTGCTGACTGAAAAGTTGGTGGTTCAATTCCGGAGAGCGGGGAGAGCTCCCAATAATAATAATAATAATAATAATAATAATAATAATAATAATAATAATACAACTTTATTTATTCCCCACCACTATCTCCCATAAGGACTTAGGGCAGCTTACAAAATAGCACACAAAGATGCCATGCATAAAATATATAATACATAGAATAAAATGCAACAACATGAAACAGGAGCCCCTGGTGGTGCAGTGCGTTAAAGCACTGAGCTGCTGAAGTTGCTGACTGAAAGATCATCCGGGGAGCAGGGTGAGCTCCCGCTGTCAGACCCCGCTTCTGCCAAGCTAGCAGTTCAAAAACATGCAAATGTGAGTAGATCAATAAGTACCGCTCCAGCAGGAAGGTAATGGCACTTCATATAGTCATGCTGGCCACATGACCTTGGAGGTGTCTACGGACAATGCCGGCTCTTCAGCTTAGAAATGGAAATGAGCACCAATCCCCAGATCTTTGACAGCACACGCCTGGACTTAATGTCAGGGGAAACCTTTACCTTTACTATACTCTAAAATCCAAAAATGTCCACATAGGTGTATGAAATAGTGATACTTTTGCTTTCTAATGTGCCCAAACTTTGTTTCATGCACAAAATTGTGAAAAATGTTGTACTCCAAATTTTCATGTTGAGACTTGGGTCCCATCTCTAGGATATTCCATTCATAGAATCATAGAGCTGGAACAGACCATCCAGTCCAATCCCCTGCCCTGGGGTGCATAATCAAAGCACCCCCAACAGCCTATAGGCAAAAACAGATATTCCAAAACACTTCTGATCCCACGTATTTCAGATAAGGTGTACTCAACCTGTATTCTTTATTACATCTCTAGTCACCATAATTGGTTGAAAGATTTGAATTAAAGCTTGGTGTGTTTTAGGTTTCAGAAGCCTGGCTTGTAATGCTGTACACATTTATGGCCCCTACTGGGTCTCATTTTGGAGGGAATAGTGGGGTGTGAATAAAGATGATGCTAATTATGATATCAATGATAATGCCTGTTCTGTTAATGACAATAATCAACGCAAGACTTCTGTCTCTAAGCTTACATCATGGTGCACTAATACAATAAGATAACCAACAGAAAGGTTTGCAGTAGATCTAAAAATAACTATTCTGAAAATTTCGATTGGTGAATAAAACATTTGGGTGGCCTTCTGCTGGTGAATTATGATGGCATAAGCCATCATAATTAGTAGATCAATAGGTACCGCTCTGGCAGGAAGGTAACAGCGCTCCATGAAGTCATGCTGGCCACAAGACCTTGGAGGTGTCTATGGACAATGCTGGCTCTTTGCCGTTGAAATGGAGATGAGCACCAACCCCCAGAGCTGGACACAACTGGACTTAATGTCAGGGGAAAACCTTTACCTTTACCTTTAAGCCAAACTTTCTCATTCACAACTTACTTTTACATTATTTTGGAGGTTGGAATTCTGTTCTGAGCACACAATTACCAAAGCCACGAGCATTGGTAGGAACATTGGTTATAAGCATTGGTGGGAGATATTTAAATAATGGATAAAATGGGCCCTCAATATTCCAAGACACCCCTGTAGTTACAAAAATCCATGGTTGATCAAATTCCAGCAAGCAGTTTCCCCCCCTCACAATGGTGGGATGCTACAGCAAGGTATGCCTACACATCAACATAGTGTTCAGTGTGCACACACACAAAATTAAGATATTATATATATATATATATTTTCAGGCTGTGGCTGATTGAAACCTTAGATACAGAACCTCAACTGTACAGAGCAAAATATGTCAGTTAATATAATGTGTGCTTTGAATCCATACTTAAATCTCTCCCATTGAAACTAGTGGGACCAAAGGCTTGACTAGACATACCTTTAACTGCTGCTTCGTGTAATGCCAACTCTTGGCTTGGCAGACGATCCAAACTTCCCCTAGCTCTCTTTAACCTTTTCTCCTTATTGTGCCAAGTTAAGCACAATTCATGACTTGCCAGTTTTGACTGCCAGGAGAAGACAGCATGCAACATAGTGTTGCATCATGTATTGCATTTAACCAGCTATTAAGCAAATGAGAGAGAAAGAGATATGGAGCAAAAGTTATGTTATGTCTATTGTAATACTCAATTAAGCCCATAAAACTGATATTATCTTGACTGAGGCCCCAATATTTTCAGAGGATATTTATTGGATTCCAAAAAGATACATGATATGATGGGAGACACTCTCCTTCTGAACAAGTAAGGAAAATATGATTCCACAGATGTCACTGATCCACACATCATCCCTAGCCAACAGACCAAATGACTCCACTGATGTCATGGCTTCCAGGAGAAGATTCCCTTGAAGGAAGAGCAATGACTGGGGATTGGTCAGGGAAAGGACCAATCAGCTCTTGGGATGCCCCCTGGGAGGACATGAACTGTGAGAAGACAATGCTAGTGATATGTTGATAAGCTTTTGATTAGATCAATTGTCCAGTTCCATGACAAACGATATAGAGCTCAGGAAACAAAGGTGCAAGACTCAGAAACAAAGGTTCTAGTCCTGGGCATTCAAGGGCTGGGTTGTCAAATAAAAGAGTTAATGAATGTACATATTTTTAAGTCTCTGTTTCAGTGGGGATAACAGGCACTCAGTTTTGGGGGAATCACACAAGCATTTCTGAGCTAATCTAGCTGGCATGGAGATCATCTATCTTTACATATAAACAATGAATCTGATGATTATCTGGCTTGGGAAACAGCCAGGAGGATTTGTCCAACCTTTCTATTCTTAGGGGTTTATCTTAGCAGGGTCACAGAGATTGGCTACAATCTGTATAATTTTAAAAAGCAGTTCATTTATAGTGTATATAGGAAATAGATACAGTGTACAGTTAAAAGATACAAGTTAAACAAAATCATGAAGTCGATACAGTTTATTGAATGGTTAGATACGATGGAGTTTAGGGGTTTATAGCTGCTGCTGGTTTGGTCTCAGTCTTCTGATGCTTTGAATTTTCGCAAGTCTGAAAAAGTTATTTTTAAAAAGGAAAAAAAACATATTCTGAACCCTTGTTGAACTATAAATCTTCCACGGGGTCCTATAACAACAAGGCTGCTGTTTGGGGGCAACTATGCACTTGTTTCAATTGTGAGTTCCTCCATAAGAGCACTTTACAGACAATTCAGTCTATGAAAACCCTTAGAGACCAATAAATAACACATGGAAGTCATACCCTCTTTGTAATAGTTTTGAAGTGGAGGATACAGTCTGCTGAAAACGCACCTGTGTGATGGAAGTGGTAGTATTCACCAAGGCCACAATGAAGAGAATGCAACTCTCCACTGATGTCACTCTTGCATAAGTGTGAATAATTTCAAAATATTCTCCCCACTCCAGAAGAATGGGAACAGCTTTGTAACACTGTTTAGTTAATTAGAGCCTCATTTGGGAAAACATACTTGTGCAAAAATACATGTGGTATTTCTTGTGCAAAAAAAAATGAATTGGGGGACAGAAAATGTGTCTCAATACAAAAAGCAACAGAAAGTATATTTTGTGCAAAATTCACTGGTTCCTATGCAAAAAAAAGCATTTTTTTTTGTAGAAAACACCTTTTTCTGCAAAAGATTCAGTGTATTTGTGAACACTGCACAATGAGTAAGAACAAATTTACTTTATTAGTGGAACAATAAAGTGTGCTTTTAAGTTGTTAGTGACTTGTGGTAGCTAGGTAGGTACCCTCTTTACTTGTATCTTGTGTTCACCTCCTTTGGCTAAATTACCTCGCCAAAATTAGGATGCATATTAGATTCACGTAATATCGTAATCTTAATGCTGAGTGAAAGCAAAAATGGAAGCTGCTTCAGGGAGCACTTGGAGCTCCTATTTGAGGAACATCATCTCTAATTCAATGGCCATGGCTCAATGCTATGCAGTCCTAGGGTTTGTAGCTTGGTGAGGAACCATCATTCCTTGGCAGAGAAGATTCTAGAGACCAGGGTTCAAATTCCTGCTTGGCCATGGAACACCACTGGTTATGGTCTCTTAGCTTTGGAGGAAGACAAATGCAACTCTCCTCCAAACAATTTTTGCTAAGAAAACCCTGTGATAGGCTTGTCTTAGGATCACCATAAGTCAGAAACAACTTCAAGGCACACAACAACAACAACAACAACAACAACAACAACTGCTCACTAAATATTAGATAATTTCAATCCCTTGAGATTTTCAGGAACAAAGGTCAAATGTCTTGGGTATTTACGTAGCAGTTATTAAGGATTCCCAAGTTCTCCAGCCTGCCTGCCTGCCTATCTATTTATCTACTTTCTGTATTTACTAAAATCTAATGCACAACTCAGAGCCCC